GACACCGCGGCGCAGGCCAGACGCCCGCGAGCCGGAGGCGGCGGCTGCTGCGGCGGCCCGCCGAGAGCTGGAGGTGCGCGGCGGCGGGGCCGCGTCGTCGCCGCCGCTGCCCGCGGCGGTGCGGGGCGCGCTGGAGCTGGCGGAAGCCCGGCGGCGGCTGCTGGAGGCGGAGGGCCGGCGGCGGCTGGTCTCGGAGCTGGAGGGGCGCGTCCAGCAGCTGCACCGCGTCTTCATCGAGGCCGAGCTGCGCATGGCCACCCGCGCCGAGAGCCTGGGCCGCCTGGGCAGCGGCGTGGCGCAGGCCGAGCTGCACCTGACGGCGCACGGGCAGCGCCTGAAGAAGACTCTGCGGCGCTACAAGAAGGCCCGGCCGCCGGCCCTGCTGGCCTCGGCGCTGGGACTGGGCGGCTGCGTGCCCTGGGCGGCCTGGCGGATGCGCCGCGGTCGAGCGGGCGGCGCGGAGCCGCCGGAGTCCCCCTTCAAGAGGAGCCTCCAGGGGGCGACAGCGCCACCCGCCCCGCGGCCGTAGCAGGGCGGCGCAAGGCTGGCTGAAGGGTCGGGTGCGCGCGGGCGCCCGTCGGTTCCCTGCGGAACGTCCTTGGAGGAGGAGGAGGAGGAGGAGGAAGGCATTTGCCGAGGCGGAGGCAGGAGCGAAGGGTGGCCTTACCAGTGGCAGTCCTCTCGCCTCCCTCTCCACGCGCTCGTGGCCACCGAGTCCTCCGTGGCTCGTTCTCCACCAGCAGAGGACCCAGCGCCCCGCTCCAGCTGCGCCCTTGGAGACGACCGGTTCTCGGGACCATCTCATCCGGCGAAGGCTGCACTGCGGGGGTGGGGCCGCTCCGGCCAGCCTTTTCGAAACCCAGATTTTCACATTTCAGATTTAAAAAAACGCTAACGATTTGAGTTGAAACCAATAAAAGGCAAAACCTCTTAAGCTGAGAAAGGAGCCTTATAAATAACTTAGATATCAGCAAGTATTCTAAAGATCGGTAATTAGCAAAACACGTTCAATATTAATCAGTGTCCTTAGCTATATAAATATTACATATTTCATGTCTAAATTGCAAGATAAGTATCTGCAGAGGTGCACGACTCAAACAACTTGTGCTATTCTTTTGCAGTTCAATTTCTTTAATTGAAACTCATTTGAAATGTATGAAACTACGTCAATATACAATTTAACCTTCACAAACAGGATAAATGCTTCCCAATCACCATTAAAATTTCCAGTTTTAAAATGTTTCCATCTTTTTATTTAATATAGTCAGTGATACTATTTTACGATATCCCTTAATTTTTGCAAACCATGATTTTCATGTTGGCATTTTTTGAGACAAGAGTTCTTGATCAATTTGTAAGGTCACCATAATGTTTAGGCGTAAATACATAGGCTTAAAGATACCATATACCCAGAGGATCAGTTCTTGACCATACTTGACCTTTCATCAAAATAACCGTCTTCGTGCATCTCTGTCACTTGTTGGCCATGAAATCTTAAGGCCAGCTGGTTGTCAGACACATGGTTCAAAATCATCCAAGAGACAGCTGTTGGTTTGTTGCTGCCTGCTGGCTTAGTGGATCCCTGAAGACTACGGAGCTGGCTTTTGGGGTGGGGTGGGGGACTATGGTAGGGTGAGATGATAGTGAGAATCAGCTGGAAAAGCTTTGCCTTAAGAAGCAACATTTTACCACCTGATTGCAGCAGATAAGTCCAGTCCATTTGCTACTGCTATCATGCATTGGCACTGATCTCTGGGACTGTTCCTCATGTCTAGGGTTTCTACATGGTGCATCCCAGACAAAATGAGGAGTCGTGGCTTTAGGAAACCTTGAGGGGAGCAGAAGGTGGGGAAGTCTGTATCACTTGCTTCTTAGGAAATGAGAAAAGTGGCCACTTATTCTGCAGAAGCTCCTCTTTTGTCTAAGCATATGCACCTGCTATTTCATGACAGCTTCTGTATTTTCAGAACTTGGAAACATTTCAGTGTGAATAATTCCTAAAGCAGACAAGTTTTCCTGAAACAGGACATGCTGCTTCCATGGTATCTATGGGGCTTTGAATAATGAGGAGCAGGAGAAGAACAAGCCATCAGAAAGAGAAGAACAAGCCATATTGGAGTGTGTTTTTTGATGAGAGAGTTCCCAGATTATCTGCCAAAGATTCAAGCTCAAAGTTGTTCCACTGGCTTTAGGACTTTGATGCAGAGGGCTGGTTTACTCAAATGTTGGCATCTGTTGGACAGACTTTGGCCTTCACCTGAGAACCCTGCTAGTTCTTCCTTGAGACAGGTTCTTCTATCCCAGCAAGCTGTGAACCATGCTTAGCTTCTGATCTTCCACCCCACATCAGCTGCAGGGAACTAGATCCAAGCAAACTGCCTTAATTTTGCCCTTGTACATATGAACGCTTCTCTTATCTCCTAAGAAAAAATGACTAAGGAACTGCAACCAAGCCAAGAGGTACCATGAATCGCCCCTTCCTGCTCTTTTGGACAATACTTCTAAGAGAGGACTCAGAAGCCATGTTTTCTCCAGGGATTGCATTAACTATTCCATAACCAGCTGCACAGCATTTACTGACCCAGGTTGTGGGTGGGGATCACTCTTTTGAATGTGCAAGGTCTAGCACACAGAAACACTGCTATTTCTCATGTTGAGAATCTGTCCTGATTATGGGGGTGGGGGGCAATTCATCCAAGTGTAATGACGCATTGGGGTTAATGTCTGCGCCCTTCCAGTTAGCTGATGGGAACTTTTGAAGGTATTTTTACAGCACTTTTAATGTAGAAAGTGACATTTCCTTGCCATTTGAGTTCCACAGGGTATTTATTTGGGGCAGAATATCCAGTGAATATTGTATGCTTGCATCCAACTGGTTTGTGTGTATGAGGCAGTAAAGACTTCTAATCTCAGTATACAAATGATAGCTGCACTTTAGGTCACTTCACTGAGGGACTAGATTGAATCACCCTTCAAAGCATGTACCAACCAAGTCTGCAATAAAGCCATGCTAGTTGTGGTTAGGTAGGGCTGTGTATTTAGACAAATGCATTGTGCCCTCTAAGCAGAATTGGGCAAAGTCATATAATATTTTAATTGCAAAAGGAGCTAGAATTTTGTAGAACTTGGCTTGTAATGTATTATTCTTTTGCAGCAAAAATAATAGAGTGCTATAGTAGTTTAAATATTAATGAGAACCGATTGGCAGGAACTGGACTGATGGGGAAGAACAATCAGACACTGGGAGACAGTGGGCGTAGGGACTGGGGCTGAAGACGATGTGTTCATGAGAGCCCCATGCAAAAGTATGCACCAAATCTACAGGAATTATTTGGATTGTCTCACAGATCTTAAATGTGCAACCAAGAGGGCTAGAAACTTAAGAAAGAAAGATGCCTGACACTTCAGGATTGGAATAAAAGTACCAAACCAACAAAATGTTATCGTAAGCATAATTGGTTGGTTCATTAGTGCCCACAGCGGAAAGGTCTGGGGTGAGGGCGAGAAAAGGATATTAACACAGAGATTTCGAGCACAGCTCTCTAGACTTTGCCACACACATTTTCAGATGTGCATTTTAAGTGCTAAGTGAACCTTGAACTTTTGTGATGCGGTTTGAGTTTCCACCTTTCCACTTTTTAGGCTCAAACATCAAGAGGTTTGTTCCTGAACACTGTTCTACAAATTACATTTTGTCTAGTATTTGAAAGTGACATTCCCAGTATCAGAAGGGAGAGCAGATGGTGATTTTGACAGTCATTTGCATGGTATCCTAATACTCTTAAGTAAGCTTAGAAATTAATTTTAAGGAGTGCGTGATACTCTTTAAATATCAACTTTTGAATTGGCCAGATTCACAGAATGTCAATTTTATGTGCTGTTTTTCCCAGCTCTGTTAACAATCCAATATCCAGTCAGATATGTTAAGGCTCCACTGAAATCAATGTAGCGCGGCTTGCCATCTTTTTTCGGGCTTCGCTCTTGAGCCTTGGCAGCAGCCTGGCTCAGAAATGGCGCCAAGGAGCTTTCTGCCTTGCCATCCTAGTGCTGTTAAAGACAGAAGAGCAGATGCCAGCCATAAATAGGGCTACAATGCAACTCCTTGTCTCTAAGGCTAAAGACGTTGGAACATGTTGTGTGATGGGTTAAGTTCATCATGAAGAGTGACCATATACAAACAACTGTAACCGATATACAAATAAATCTCAACCTACTCAGAAGCAAGCCCTGTTGAGTTCAGTGGAGATTAGTCTCAGGTGAATGGGCATAGGACCGCGGTCAGAGAATCGTACAAGTTCCCAGGATCTCTAATAACCAGCTGTTTTAGTAAGCAGATTAGTTGTTAACAGCGTTGCACTGATAGAGCAAAGCAAATTTGGATAAACGAGGTTTGGGTAATGTATCTCACTGTACTTCAGGGAAGAGGATCAGCACTGACTCAGATCTTGCAATATTCCCTGTCCTGAATTGCAAAGCATGGCCCATTATAAGAATGTCAAAGATAGGAAGGTTTATATAGGCATAGATTCCCCCATCCCCACCTCGCATTTCTTTTGGCATCAGGAGGGACTCTCATCAATCTTTGTACCCCACCAGGAGTGGGTATATTCACACATTTTTTCTGTCTTTTGAAAAGAACTTGAAGCTAATTGCTGACATGTGTGCATGTTTAAAAAAAGCAGATTGCTAGCAATTTTGTGAAAGTGCAAAGGGTACCTTAGTGTGGATGAGAAACAGCCGGTCTGTTACATAATCTTTGCATCCCCATATGCTTCCCATGGATGAAAGCCGTCTTGCAGATGCAGCATGAGGTCTGTGGTGGGACGAATGTACTGTACGTACTTGGCCACGGGCACTCCTTGGAAGAGAGCACACGGTTTAGACTAAATAAACTTATGTTCATTGCTTATTACGTGTCTTTTGAGGATTATTACTTGAGGTGAGATGGAGAAGTAAGTACCTGCAGAAAATGCTGCTAACATTTGTATTTGCTTCGTCAGCCCAAGGCAAAGATCACAAAAGGCTGTGCAAGCTTTTGAGTTCTTCACAACTCTTCCTCGAGCAGCGCAGTAAAGAAACCAATGCAAGGACAACTGGGTGGTGGTGGGGAAAACGGGTCTGTGATCCACGAATCGTGGCAATCCAGAGCATCATTCAGACTCTGTAGTGCCACGGGGGCTGCATCTCTGCTTATAGACATAGGTGGAAAGTGGGAAGGGGCAAGAAGCATTTCTGCCTATCTGGCAGGGATTGCTAGCTCTTTTGAGTTAGTGGAAATTGGAGGTAATTTTGCAGGTGGGCTTGCAAAACGGCTGCTGTGCAGGGCTTACCCATTCATAAGCTGGCTGCCTTGATAGGTTTGGCCAATCACAAAGCACCCATTTCCCAGATGGCAAGCTGATGAAATTAAAGGAAATTATTTTGTTCAAGAACAAGTATAAGGCAGAGTTGGGATGCCATCTCCCAAACACAAAACTATCCTTTTGAAGCTAAATAAAGATGGAACTGGAGGGCAGTGCATGACTGCAACATGCTAACCTCTCTCAAGAGCTGCCGGGAAGGAGAAGCAAACAATGGCAAGCCCTAATTGAAGCTTGAAGCTGCTCCCCACTAGGCAAAGTACTGATTAATTGGTCAGCAGAAAGAGAAGGGAGAAACGAGACGGCGTTTATATTGACAAGAGTCAATAGTTTCAGAAGGTGTATTAGGCTGAAAAAAATGCAAGCCAGATGGAAGGGGTGCGTTTTCCCAGACTAAGGCTGCAGTTGTACATAGATACACCTGGGATGAAGCTCAGTGGGGTTGTCTTGATGGAATTGACACGTGTAAGGTGGCATCACACAGACACGATCCACTAATCAGGGGAGTCCAGAATAGCACCGTTCAAGATCGAGTGCTTCCAAGTAGGTTCCTGCAGGTGGGAAGGAAGGCTCACAAGCGGAGTATAAATAAACCCCGTGCAATCCATAACATGCTGATCGCTGCTGTGCTAAACATACTTCCCCCCAGCCTGGTGCCATCCAGATGTAATACAACGTTAATTGGATGTGCTGCCTGGGGATGATGGGACTTGTGGTCCACTGTATCTGGAGGATGTCCAGTTGTCATTACTACATACACTAGGTAAGCCTGAATGGCACCCCAGGTGTGAAAGCTTAACATTTGTTGGCGCTCTAAAACTGAGTGCCGTGAAGAACAAAAGGGGAGGGGTGCATTTCTTTTTCTCTTTGATGAGAGGTGTATCCATGAGGTTTCTTCAGATCCTAAACAGCATGACCATGCATCTCAGGACCAAACTGCAAGGCACTCTGTGCTTTTAAGCCTCGTGATGCATTTAGAAAGTATCTGCCCGAGAGCCAGCAATAGCCTCACTGTTAATGCAGCCCCTCAGTCCAATCATGTTCCCAGCCCAAGAAGGACACCTTCATGTACCAGAGACTGTCCAAAGCAAGAGATACTGTAGAAATATCCACTCCGGAATTTCTAGAGAGTTTGGGCTTATTTTCAAGGTCAGCTCTTCCATAATACTCATCGTGGGGTGGCAACTTGTGGCCATCCAGAACTTCCAGCTTACAACTCCCATCAGCCTTAGCCAGCGAAGCCAATGGTGAGGACAAAGGGAGTGGTGGACCAAGACATCTGGAGGTGTCAGCTTGCTGTCCCTCAGCAGCGATTTAGAATCACGCCTGCGAGTGATGAGAAGAAATGAATGAAGCTTTTTGCCACAGTATGATTTGATTTTCGTTGGCTTGAAGGACGAGCCCAAGAATGGGAAGAATGACACACACAGCCCTGTGCGCATTGTGTCACACATGTGTCCTCCTGACCTTACAGGAGCTTGGGAAATAGGCTGAAGGCTGCAGCCCTGCGCTGAAATCCTTTACGTAAATGCTGTTGCACAGGCTAACCTCAGTGCGGCTGCCCAGCTTTAGATTCAAAGTGCCATTTGTAGCTGAGGTGCTTCATGCGCAGCTGGAGCAACCCTTAATTAAGGTGGGCTGGGGCAATTTTAAAGGAACGAACGCCAGCAGTCTGTTGTTCTGACTGCTGAAATTCTCCCTCCAGCATTTTCCATCTTCCTTAGCAAGCCCGGTGATTGTTCCTATAGCTGCTGCATCATGATGTACAGACACTGCGTCACAGTGCTGAGTCAACTCCTGTGGTAGAAAAGGGCCTCATCTGGTGCTGACTCATGCCTCCGGCTTCTGCACTTTCTAGCTGAGAAGCTGCTTTCTCCTACGTTCCTTCTGCTCCAAGGCTCACTGGAGAGGATGGGCATGCTGTAGAAAGTCAAAGGCAGAAGAAAAGGAAGACGAAACATGAGATGGATTAACTCTATAAAGGATGTCACAGCTTGAAATTACACGATCGGAGCAGAGCTGTCATAGATAGGGAATTTTGGAGATCTTTCATTCATAGGGTCTCCCTAAGTCCGAGATGGCACATAATCACAAGCAGCACGCAAGAAATAAATATGCCTGTTGGTTATTCTAGCTTGCATTTCCTGCACTGAGCCAGAAGCTGGAATAGGTGGGTTCCCATAAGTTCCCATGATTAGGTCGCAGGTGATGAGGGAAATCCTCCTTTGCCTGAAACCCTTCAGAGATGCTGCCAGTTAGAGCAGAAATACATTGTGTTAGAGGGGCAGAAAGCCTGGTCCCACCTGATATAACACAGCTTCTTCCTATGTCCATTCTCCTTTCCCTGCCTCCTGGCCAACAGGGCCAGCTCTGCCATTGGGTAGATGAGCCAAGGCCTCAGGAAGCAGGAGGAGAAGGTTGGGGCAACCTCCAAGCCATTCCTCCTGAGGTGGGTGGGCTAGTGCTCCATGATGGTAATCCTAATTTGTGGATGGAGTTGTGCTCATGGATACCTCCTGTAATGCTCAAAATAGAAGCTGCAATGGATAAGGGGCCTCACCGGCATGGGTGTCACTGGCCTCCCCTGTCCCCGAGTCCCCTGTGCCTGCCCCCGTGTTGGAGAACAGAGCTGTGTGCGCCCCCGCTCATAGGATCCTATATTGCTGCCTTTCACTAAGCCAGACTATTGTTCCTTCTGGCTTAGTACCGTCAGCACTGACTGGCAGAGGCTCTCTGAGGTTTCAGACAGGACTTCTTGCCACCCTCAGTTGGAACGGGGAACCTTCGGCGTGCAAAGCATGTATTCTTCCACCCACTCACAGTCCGTCTCTAAGGCCCGCCGAGCTTTCTGCTGCCCTTGGGAGGGGTGGAAGACGCTGTCCCGTCATCAGAGGTGATTCCAGTCCAGCAGGCTTCTGGAGCAGGGGACCATCTTGCTCTTAGCCTCAGGTGGTCTTGGATCCACTTGGCTGACCACCTTCAGAAATCAGGGTGCCTTGCAGTAAGAGGAGGCGGGGAAGGCAAAGCAGGTCCTCTCTTCCAGCCACTGCCTTAATCTCATCCAGGGTCTCACTGGCCAAATGCAGAGTGCAGAGGATGATTTTAATAGCAGCTTAGAGGACTCAAATAGGAGAAAGAACACATTACCTCCCAGAGGGTTTCAATTAAGGGTATGAAATGCACAGCTTGGCCTTAAATCCTCCCATTTCAATCCCCTGCCCAGTGCACGATTATTTGCAAATCAGCTTTTGACCCCTATTATAGAAAAATCTACTTACAATGAATGGCAAAGAAAACAGAAAGAACCCCATGCTGTCAATGAAAAGCACGGAGATAAATATGAAGGCATTTTGTACTTTTCCCTGCAACAGAAATATCCCTTGGTCCTGTGCATGTGTGTTGTCATTGTCCTAAGCTTTTGCAATTTTGCACTGCTCCAGGGAGATGAAAATGTCCTATGAACATTCATGACTTGGTTCTACAAGGTTAGATACTGTATTTACATTAGCATATATCTGTTTGCTATGTCAACATAGCCTCATGCATTTCTCTCTCTCCCATAACAGCGGAGACTTGTCATGCCCCATGAATACCATTTTCTGAGAGCACTCGTGACACTCTCAAAGTTCCTGAAGTGCCCACCAATATAAAAAAATGGAGGACCCCTGACTGGTTGCAACACTCCAGTGATTCACACAGGGGTCTTTCCCTGTACTACCTGGAGATGCTGGCACCTGAGCCAGGGACTTCCTGCTGCAAAGCAAGCATTCTGAGAACAGGCAAGAATAGGCAGCAATGCAGACCACGCTGGATAGCAAGGCTGCTTGGACACCTAGGACCTGCCTGGTGGCTTTCTCTTCCCACAAGGGCATGTGATGGACTCCCACTCCCCAAACTGAGGCAGAAGAGCCTGGGGCCCCCCCCCCCCCCCCCAGTAATCAGAAAGCCATGTGAGGCCTCTACCCTGGAAAATGTCAGAGTTCCAAGGTTCACCTTTTCCCCCCTTTTTGAAGATGGGGACAATGTTGGCCCTTCTCTAGTCATCTGGCACTTCTCCTGTTTTCCAGGATTTATTGAAGATAGTAAACAGTGGCTCTGAGAGTCCCTCTGCGAGCTCTTTTATGACTCTGGGATGGAGTTCATCAGGCCCCGGAGATCTGAATGTGTTTATTCCATCTAGGTATTCCTTGACCACTTGTCTGTCACACTTGGGCTGCCGTCTATCACTTTCAGCCAGTACTTCCTCTTGGTTGTAGATTTGCTTGTGGGAGAAGATATTGTGCTCCTCCTCGGGATGGTGTGGATGTGCCTATGGAGACTATCATGATGAGTGCCTGAACTTTCAAATGTTCTGCTTTAGCCTCCAGTCTGATGAGAAGGTATTGCCTTCCAGAAGCAGAGATGCTGAAGCAGCCAGGAAGGAATGTGGCATGCAAATAAGGTGGGCGTGTCTGCCTCGGAGTTGGGTTTATGACATGTGCTTCTTGAGCCCACTGAACGGCACTCTGGAGGTAGTGTCTGTGAGAAGGCCTTAAATGCCTAGCTCTCCATGAACACTGATACAATGAAGGGCTTGGGCAGGTGCTTGAGGGGGAAGGATACAGCTGCAGCGCTGGTTCTGGTGCTGTCAAGATTATCCTTGGCTCTCCCAACCTTCTCCTTGCCAGCCAGTGCAAGCAATAGTATTGGGAGCCATAACAAGACAGTCATCATAGGTATGAGACTGGAGAACAGCTCTAAGCCAGGGACTGGGTTCTTGAGGAAAGGAATAATTCAAGTGATGGAGGAAAGCCGCATCCAGCTTCGGATTTATGGCCAGGGCATCCATGAGCGTATCTGGAAGATGGTCTACTTTGCTGAAATGTCTGCCTTGGAGACTGCAGCTGGTGGTCCAAGGAAGGATCCTTGCTCCGAAAAGACAAGTGATTTGGTGGTGGAACCCTACAGTCTGGATGTACGGGATACTTCTGCAGTGCTGTCTGTGATGGTCCAAACTCTGCGGAAGAACATCCGCTACAAAAGCTACATGATGTGTCTTGGAAATAGTTCTCGGCAGGCACAGCGCTGGCTCAAGAACCCCGATCTGTTCCTTCGCGTGGTTGAGGGGAAAACATTGGAGTTGCCTTTTTGGCTCGAGATCATCTTAATATTTTTCTTCCTGGGGCTCTCGGGCATGTTTAGCGGCCTCAACCTGGGCCTGATGTCTCTCGACCCAATGGAACTCCGCATCGTGCAGAACTGTGGCACACCCAAGGAGACGAAATACGCCACCATGATCGAGCCCACCCGCAGGAAGGGCAATTACCTGCTTTGCTCTTTGCTGCTTGGCAACGTCTTAGTCAATGCCTCTCTCACCATATTGATTGACCACATTTTGGGGGAAAACCTGGTGGCTATCGTGATCTCCACTTTTGCCATTGTCCTCTTTGGGGAGATAATCCCACAGGCCCTCTGCTCCCGACACAGCTTGGCTGTGGGAGCCAACACCATCTTCATCACCCGGTTTGTCATGTTGCTCACTTTCCCTCTGTCATACCCCATCAGCAAAATCCTGGACTACATGCTTGGCAAGGAAATGGGGACCATGTACAACCGGGAGAAACTGATGGAGATGCTGAGGCTGACAGAGCCCTACAGTGGCCTCCTGAAGGAAGAGATGAATATTATCCAAGGGGCCCTGGAGCTCAGGACAAAGACGGTGGAATGTGTCATGACCCCGCTCCATGATTGCTTCTTGCTGAACAGCGACGCCATCCTGGATTTCAACACCATGACGGACATCATGGAGAGCGGCTACACCCGCATCCCCATCTACGAGAAGGAAAGGCCTAACATTGTTGACATGCTGTATGTCAAGGATCTCGCCTTTGTTGACCCTGACGACTGCACCCCACTCAAGATCATCACCAAATTTTACAACCACCCAGTTCATTATGTCTTCCACAATACCACGCTGGATGCTGTGCTTGAGGAGTTCAAAAAAGGTATCGAAGCAGTGGATCTAAGGTCAGGTTTCATCTCTGTTGGCATGATCTCCGAATAAGCTAAAGTGAGGGAGCCCTGACAAAATTCCCTTGAAGACCATCTCTCTTTACTGGGCTCCGCCCCTTTCCTCCAACCACTGGTCTTTCTTTGGTGGTTTCCTGGTTTTGGTGCAATTTCCCCCTTGTTCTGAAAGGTTCAAAAGCCTCTCCTAAGATTTAATTTCAGCACTAAAATGTCCTGTTTTTCCATGTTTGGACCCCACCCTTTCCCCCATTGTCTTTCCCTTCATGCACCACTGGAATGCAGCTGCTGAGGAGTCTCTGAAACTGAATTGGACTGAAAGAGGTTCCCCACCCAGTGTAAAAGGTATTGGTAATAATCTGGAGTAGGTGACTATGCAGAAAGAGGTAACCATCTAAAAAGGGCAGCTCTTCTCAGTTAAATAACTATGGATAATATGTGTTTTCTGTCCTGGGGCAAGCTCTGAAAAAGCATTTGGTTCTGCAAGCCAGGACTGGGAAATGCCAGCTATAATTACTGTCTGTTGGCTAAGTGCTTCTAACATCTTTGGCACCCCACCCCACCACAGTTTTAAATATTTCTGAATTATAATTTGATACAGTGAAATATTCTTTTTATTTTGTATATTTATCCCCCACCTTTTCTTTTTGGGGAAAAGAAGAAACACCATAAGAAGGATTAGAAATGCTAACTACTGGACACAAATTTTAAAAATGACAATCTCTACCTTGTAGGTTTACAATCTAAAAAGTACAATGTGAAAGGACACCAAGATGGTGGAGGACGTAGGAAACAACAAGTATCGTATGTAGGCTATTGGTTGAACTGGAACTGGGGAGATGGACATTCAAATCCCCATTTAGACACAAAGCTCAGGGTGACCTTGAGTTCGTTAGCACCTCTTGGCCTAACCTGCCTCAGAGGGTTCTTGTGAAGGAGTTTGGACAAGGGAATTGGGCAATCTGTCTCGAGCTTTTTGGAGGAGGGTGCAAAAAAGGCAAACGAGCCAGATTTTTTTTTAAAATTGCATTCACAGTACCTCTTATATTACCTATTTTTTCTGTTGAAGATAAAGGAGTAATGGTAATTTGGATCAATTCCGCACATTTCTGAATAAATAAATAAATTTCCAAAATGGAAGCAAGGGCTAACTGCCAAGTGTTGTAAGAAAATCTATTATGTAATATGAAGACAGGACAACCTTCCCCAAACTGGAGCCTTCCAGGGGTTGTCCTGCAAATTCCAGCACCCCCAACCAGCATAGACAGAAGATGCATGGCTGAGTGGGGGATGCTGGGAGTTGTAGTCCAACATGTTTGGAGGGCACCAGGTGGGGGAAAGCTGGGGAAGAATGCCCCATGTGTTGTTTATTCTTTTAAAAAGCATTACCTGGGGTGGCCTGACCACAGTAATATATCCAAGGTCTATCCTACAGGTAAATCTCACCTGGCTGTCGTCCAAAAGATGACGGAGGTTGAGCAAGACCGTGTCTGTGAAGTGGTGGGTGTGATAACCTTGGAGGATGTCATTGAGGAGATAATCAATTCAGAGATCCTGGACGAATCGGATATCTACAGTTAGGTTCTTTCTCTGGTTGCCTTTTTGCTAGGAAACAAGAGTGTGTGTGGGAGACATTCCCTCCACCAAGCTTTCCCAACCTGGTGCCCACCAAACTGCAATTCCCATCAGTCCCATGCAGCATGGCCAGTGGGAGTCGTAATCCGAAGCCCCTGGAGAATACTGCTTGGGGAAGGCTGTTTGCTTCAGAAATGGCTGCCTTCGACGTCCGCCCAGCCTACAAGCTTTTCTTCATGAGGCATTTATTGTGTGGGGGGGATTCTTTGTGCTTATGGGCTCTTCAGATGATGCTGGGATTTTCCAGCTGCATGCCTGTTTTTAAGAATGCTTTCCCAGGTTTTGTTAGGGCCGGGAAACGGGGTATTATTTTGGAAGGCAAAAGAAAAGTTATTTTGTTAGTTGTGTAATGGTAGCATTTTGCCTGAGCCCATGTAGCAGACAAGCAGAAAAGGAAACAAATTTTGTGTAGCTCTGATCTCAGTTCTGCACCCAAGGCAAATGTAGATACAGCCTTGCATAGAAAAGCTCTGCGTTGGAGGTCTTTTCTCTCTTGTGGCGAGGGGCTGTGTGTCCTTTGCTTTAACAGTCCTTTCTCTGAAGGGCTACCCAGTCCCACTCTGGGTTAAAGAAGAAGCAGAAAAGCTGGACTACAGCACTAATTACAGCAATTTAAGCCTGAATCATAAACAAGCATATGCGATTTTTCCGCAAACTGGTACCCTTTGGGGTGTGCATCAGTGGTAAGCCGATGCAGCTGGCTGCAGCTGCAGGCTGCCTTCCCCAGCCTGGCTCTCTCCAGATGCACTGGACTGCAATTCCCACACTCCCCAGCCAACATAGCCAGTGAGTGTGGATTATTGGAACTGCAGTTCAAAATATCCAGAGGGTGCTGTTCGTCTCCTCTTAGGATCTTCAGTAAGGGCTCCCTTTTGGTCATCCTCACCATAGGAGTCTTGGCCAGTGATGGGAGAAAGTGGGGGCTGCGCCTGGATTCCTCCTCCCGGATGGGCTCCCCTGCCAACTGCTTTGCTGTGCTTCTCTGTCAGGAAAAGGCCTTTCTATTCCCCGTTTTTAAAAAGTCCTTTGCTGATCCATGGTATGCTGCTGTTTTAAATGTTGGCACTGGAAGGTTTATTTTATTGTCATTGTTAATTCTGTGGAAGTTGGCTTGGGAATGTGTTGAAGGGCAGGCTATGCATCTTTTAAAAATTAATAATATACATGTAATAAACAAGCAACCAAGCAAACTGCTTTTCCCCAGCTGGAAGGTGGGGATATACATTCACCCAAACAGTATATTAAAAAATACAATGCTTGTGCCTTCTGCATTCCATCTGTAATATGCGGGACAGAAGAATCTGTCAGATCCTTTTGATAAGTGTTGCAAGGACAGGAGAATCATCCAGCAGGGGTGCAAAAGCAGCATGAGGTGGGGAGGGCACAGCCTAAAGCCCCCCACTGAAGGGAGCAGGGCAGGGATGCGCAGAGTTTCACCTCTTGATCACAAGCCATTTCATCTCAAACTCCTTTTTCTGGGCCATCTGCAGAGACTAACATTACTTTCCAAATTCTCTTTAGTGATCATGAGGACTAGAAACACATACCTGTTTTACATAAAACCTCTGATTGTGGGGTTCCACTATCTGCGTTTTCTCCCATCCCTTTTGAACCCTGTGCAGGGTCCAGCACTGCTTCTGCAATTGTGCCCCCGTAACTGTTGCAGGGGCTGCAGGTGGTGCGGTGGGTTAAACCGCTGTGCTGCTGGGCTGGTTGATCAAGAGGTCGCCAGTTCGAATCTGCACAACGGGGTGAGTTCCCATTGCCCCGTCCCAGCTCCTGCCAACTTTGCAGTTCGAAAGCATGCAAATGCAAGTAGATAAAAAGGAACCACCTCGGTGGGCAGGTAACAGCGTTCCGTGCACTTGGGTGTTTAGTCCTGCCGGCCCCATGACCACAGAGACTGTCTGCGGACAAACGCTGGCTCCCTCAGCCAGGAAACGGAGATGAGCACCGCCCCCTACAGTCAGGCATGACTGGACTTCACGTCAAGGGGAAACCTTTACCTTTTTTGACAACTGTTGCAGAGTGATCCTTTCTTTGCCTACTTCCTTTGCAGCCGACAACCGCACCAGAAAACGAGTCACCAGCTCAAGGAAATGGGACTTCTCTGCCTTCAAGGGCAATGACAGCGAATCAAAGCTCTCTCCTCAGCTCCTCTTGGCTGCACACCGCTTTCTCTCCACTGGTATGAGCCCATCAGCAGTGGCTGTTGGCTGCTGGGTCATCCGGGTTTCACTCTGAAATGTAAAGCAGCTTTCTTTTTATTTGGGGATGGGGGCGGGTATGGTCTGGTACCATGCATAGCTCCTTGACAGTTCTGGCCAAATGCAGCGGGGATGCACTGCCCCTTGGATGCTGGAGCCCATAAGGCCCACCTCTGGGGCAAAGAGGCACCTGCATGACCAAGCTGCCCACACGCGAGAAACGGCGGCCGCCACTTCTGCATTGCCCGAAAAGAGGAAATGCACGACCAGAGAGGGGATGAAAGAGGACACCGATCTGTGTAATGTTTGTGCAAACAAATGCACAATATGGGAGAAAACAAAGAACAAATGCTTATCAATTAAGTCAGCACAGAAGGTGCCCCACCTCAGGGAGAGGACTGCGTGGGTGACCAGTCTCTGTCCACTTCCTGGGCCTGAGTGTCAGCTGCTGGACTGCACTATCAAGGCTGAACAACCACTATGGGCAGCGGTTCTCAAGGCCAGAGAGAGGGCCCCTCAGACCGCTGCCAACTCTCCAAGAGAGAGAGCTTCCCTCCGCGAAGTACGACCTCTTGGAGAGGAATCCTTCCAAGTGGAGCGGGTAGCTCCTTTTGGTGGTGTGTGGAGAAGAGATGCAGCCTGTCTGGGGTTTCCTTTGGGCATTCTCTGACTCCGATGCTCTCTCCCCATCCTATAGAGATCCTACACTTTTGCCCTAGCCTCATCTCTGAGAAATACCTCCTGCGCCTCCTGAAGCACCGCGATGTCACTTGTGAGCTCAAATTAGATGAGGGGAACAAGGATGCCCCGGGCAATTACCTGTACGAGAGGAGTAAGCCGGCCGACTATTTCATTCTCATCTTGCAGGTACGTTGCGGATTTCCAGACGCCAGTCTTCCCACCCTGGTCCCAACAGACAGTTGTGACCTCCTCTCCCATCAGCCCCAACCAACTTGGCTGATGGTCAAGAATGTTCTGCAAAGGCAGGACAGAGGGGCATAAAACTGGTTGTAGTGGAGAAGGTGGATTTTTAATGCTTCTCTTGTAGTGCTGGAGCCCAAAGGGCCCATCCAGTGAAGCTGACTGGTGGGAGACTCAGGACATGGGCCCATCTTTGTTCATGCAGTCATGGGGGGCTACCGGTCATGTGGGCAATATGAACCAGGATCAGGGTCTTTTAATATAAGCTTCTGGGCAACGGAGGAAGACCTGCCTTCTTGCCTCATTTGTGGCTTCCTAGCCGCACCTGGCTGGCCAGAGCAGATGAGGAGGTTAGATTAGAAAGGCCTTTCACCTGATCCTGCACAGCATTTCTGAAGCAGCCAGGTGGCCTCCAGCAGGTGGCTTTTAAGGCTTATGGTGCTTTTCTTACCACACGCCCCACCCTGGCTGCTTGCAAGGACCAGAATCCCTCTGCTACATAGAATCAAACAGGTAGAAGAGGCCTAGCAGGCCACCGGGTCCCACCACTTGCTCAATGCAGGATTCAGGTCACCCATCCAGGTTTCAGCCTGGCCCAATCTTGCTTAGCTTCCAAGGTTGGGCTGGATCAGGCACTTCAGAATACAAGAAACAACAACTTACAAGACAAAGTCTTACAGCCTCTGTTGCATTTGACTCTGACTCATCTATTTTTTTTTTTGCTGGCCAAGCCTCTTCATTAAATAAGCAGACGAGAAGAAACATTGTGTGATAGCATTCCTCTGAGCAAGCAAAGAGTGCCTTTCACATGCAACTGAGAAATTGCAGTCTGTCCCCACTAATTTAGAATTAGGGCTTCCTGCTAGGGCCTCCCATGCAAGCTTAAGGTCCAAAGCTTTTCTGTTCTCATTTTTGTCCACGTGAATGAGTGGGTCGCATGGGTATTGCCTACGCATAGCTTGAAAAGGCAATTGTGCAGTTCTAGCTGTGGCAACAGGGGATCCCAGCTTGATTCCTCTGTATTGGAACAGCAGGGCTGCGGGTTCTAAGGTTACCTCTCTGTTCTGTTACAGGGGATGGTGGAAGTGGAGGTTTGCAAAGAAAACATGAAGTTTCAAAATGGTCCTTTCTCATACTATGGGGTCATGGCTTTGGGACCATCTGTCCCAGGAGGTAATCTGCAATGCCTCTCCCTCTGAAAGCACACCTCCTCCTCACCTAACGGCGGAGTCCTGGTCGACTTTCATCAATCCTAATCAATCACGGGGAAGGAGGCAACAAAGAAAGGGGTTAGCTGGAATTTTTGCGAAAGGGAGACCTTTGATGAATGCTGATTAAGCCAGTCAGCAGAAAAACAAAGTTGAGAGTGATGGAATTCTAGTGGGGATGGTGAATCAACTCCAAACAAGATAATAACAAAGGCTTCCCACTATGCCTCCTGGGCCTCTTTTGAGGCTGGTGTGATTCAGTACATTGTCAAACCAGATACTGCCATCTAGTGGTTTGACACAGAAAGAGTTTCCAGAGGCAGGTGCTCGGAACTACAGCTTGCAAAGCTCAGAAGACCAAGGCCTCTTCTCATTTCTTTCTCTTGCCTCCTTCCTTCCTTCCAAAAAGAGCCACCTTGAAAGGGGGCTTAGGGAGAAAGGGATATTTAATGGACAACATATTCTCCCTCTCACCATTATTTCTGCCTTCCCTCCCCAGAAGGACCCTTAAAGCAAATCCTAGCCAAGGACAGGCCTGGCAGCCTTGCTTAACAAGCGGCTGGAGTGGCTCTGCCACTGCCTGTCTGCCGGATCTGACACGCCCCGTGGGCATCGGCACTCATGAAGAAAGAAAGAAAGAAAGAAAGAAAGAAAGAAAGAAAGAAAGAAAGAAAGAGTTATCTAATCCTGGGGGTTAGGATTTATGAATTGCCAAGAGAGGACATGCATCACCCAAAATAAATAAAAAAGGACACTAATCTGCACAACTTTTGCACGTGTTAGTTTCATGCATGTTCAGAATCCAATATAATGGAAATAGAAATATGTTACATCTTGTCAAGTACCTGCGTGTCCACCTGTCTAGGTGCTCGTGTTGATGGGCAAGAGTTCCAGTGGCTCCTTAATTTTAAACCAGGACAGCCCTTCAAATCGAGGATGCTCTCATTGTTCTTACAGTCCACCTTAACCTGGCACTGTTACAATTGCAGTTATGTCTGAGTTGGTGGCCTTGAATAATGTGTGTCTCCATCCCCCACCCCCTTGAGAGGCTGGAATTATGAGCATTTGCTCCGAAATGTGTGTACGCCTCAGTTCCCCACCCTAAGGCAAGCCTGGACAATACAAAGTTCACTTTTACAACACAAAAGCTGCAACAGATAGCAGATTCTGTAATTGCAGTTCAAGTGCTATCTAGTTACAAATTTAAATGGCTGAGGTAGAAGTTTCTATTTCTGATTCTTAAGAGAGGGCAAAGAACCTGTGGGAAAATGGCATGGCATTAAGAACCCTCTTCTAAAGAAGAGATTAGATCCCCTAAAATTGCATCCAGTGCAGCTGACTCCAACCTGTGCACTGGTTGTAGCTGAAGGTGAGTCGCCAGCCCATTTTCAAGGTGGAAATAAGCTATTTTATATTTTTGATTGCTTAGGTACCTGTCCAGAGAAAGGAGGGGTCACACCAATGAGTAAGTAAAATTTTCTATGTGTTCTTAATGAATAGCTGTTTTTCAATTGTGTTGTGTTTTCCAGTTAGTTATCCCTTTCACCTGCCTTTTCCCTGCACCTTTTAATCCCTCTGGCATTTTTACCAAGACTACAGTCTTCTCTTTCTTGCAAACATTTTTCTTTCTTATAATCCTCTTCTAGAGAAGAATTGCCCCTGTTCATTTTCAGTTAATTTGCACTTTCCCTCCAAATCTGGTTACTAGATTTGCAGTCCACCACCAAGGGTAGTTTGATTCTTTCTTGTCCTTTCTCTCATTGAGCCTTAGCAACTTCCAGGTCTTGTTCAAGTCTTTAAAACTTCCAGGTCCTCTTTCAAAACAGACCGCACCAAAAAGGCCGAAAAGCATCCATCTGGGAGTTTGGCCCAGACTAAAACTCCCCCTGTCCCACTCAGCAAGTTCTGCTGGCAGGGATGATAGGAGTTGTGGTCTGCCACAACGGGAGGGTGCTGGGTTGGGAAAAGCAGTGGAAGGAGATGCTGAGGCAGAGGAGGCATTGAGCGAGGGAAGTGACTGGGAGAAGGGAGGAGCAGAGAGGGAGAAGGAGGGTGGAGAATGCAATGCCCAGCTCCGCGCCATTTTTGTTTAGCTCTAGAGATGAGCTCCATGGCCTGCCTGAGCAGTGTGAATCGCATCAGCTTTGAACACGTGATGCCCATCCTCAGTGGCAACATCAGCACCAACCAGGTGTTCCCCAGCACCAGCCCACAGTATGTTGCAGACTTCACTGTCCGTGCCGTCACTGACCTTCTGTACCTCAAGGTGAGGCTTAGATGATCGATGGTTTGATGCATGAGAGGAGATTCTGGGAGAGCTGAAGGGTGTCCATAGAAATAGCTCAGCACTATATATTGTGGCTAAGACAATTCATCCCCTGTTGCCAGCTACTGTGAGGATGGAGCGCTGCTACACCACTGACGAATCTGCTGGTTAAAAGGTATGTGCAAGACTGCACTGTGCTGCTGTGCAGTTGACCTTCTGCCTCTGAGTTCCTGCCTTTCCCCTCTCTCTTTCTCTCCTGCACAGATCACACGGACTCAGTATCAGAACTGTCTGATGGCCTCACTGGTAGACAGCAACACCAGCGAGAACCAGCCCTCTGAGACCCCCTCCATCCTCAGGAAGCCTGACCTCCTAATCCCTTCCCAGGGCTCAGTCGGTGTCTTTCAGGCCAACGGTCAAGGAGAGAAGTCTGTGTCCAAATGAGGATAGTTGTGCATCATTCCAATGGATCACATGGACTGGATCCCAAAGCCTGAGTCTGCTGGTTCAGCCAATACGAGCTGCCCAGGTGGAACTGTGTGGTCCTTCATTTCCCTGAGATGATGAGGGATCAGCCCCAAGAGGGGAATCACAAATATTGGGATTTCCCATTCTTATCAAATTATGATGTGTGCTCAGTAAAAGATGGGATGTATATGTATGAGTTGGATAATAAAATACGCAATTATTTTTCCTCTTTCCAGTTTTTGGGCTAAATATCCAAGAAAAGGAACTGCAATATGGATTCTGCGGGGATTTTACTACTCATAATTGTTTATGGGTTCTTTAGATGTCCCCGTAATTTTGCTTCCGTGCCTAAAGAACACTTGTGGTACATTTCTTTAAAATATGGAAAATGCAGCATTTGAGAAGCAACCCCCCCCGCCCACTTTTCACTTGGCTCTTGAACTACAGGGCTATACCAGAGTGCCATCTAGAGGTTGCATGGTGGAAAAGCAGAAAAGAAATGCTTGACATGTATAATGAAACTGAAAGTAAATACACCAGATTAATGCAGTCTTAATGGCCTCCTGAAAAAAAGTTCTGACATTTCTTGGCTGCCAAACGTTCACCTGCTGATTTTTACCTGATGAAACAGAAGGACTGTCTGGTCCAAGATAAAGAACCTTAAGAAGGAAGGGAGAGCAGAATAAGGACTTTCAGGCTGCCTGACCAAAGTTGGCATCCGGACACAGTCTGCCCCGTGATGGTGAGGTGAACTGCATTTCTAGTCAGAAACGAGCATCGTGTCATGGTCTAAACAACAGTCAGTGGCAAATGCACAACACACAAGGCACAACCAATGCACGTTTTAGCCCTTTACCATATATCTCTGGGCCTTCTTAGGGGTTTACATTTTGACAGGTAGCCTGCAGAGATCTTTGGAAAAAAATATGTGCCTCCAAGAATAAACCCTGTGACTTTCAAAGATCTCTGTGGGCTACCTGTTAACATGCTCATCTCTGAAGAAGGCTCAGAAATATATGGTGCAGAACCTAAATGTGCTGAGCTACTCCGAGGAGTGAAAGGTTGTGCTTTGGGTCTATGCCTCTCTTGTTTACTTTGCGTTCTGCACTTTATTGCCTGAGGCAAAATGGCATCTCTGCTGTGTTCCAGGCACCAAGGCCAGCTGGACCAGCAGCTGAATCATACTGGAACACTGGCAGTGGGATAGGGTCCTCCAGCACACTTGAGGGTACCAATCTAGTTTATGGGGCCAAGCACGGGTTGAGTGGGAGATGCACCCCACCCTTTAGCAGAAGGGGATGGACTGGGAGCTCAGGAGAAGCAACCAGGGATCTGCCACCACCCCTACCCAGCACCTGCTGGCGGCAGCAGCTGCCTCACTTTGTCTAATGGGTGGGCCAGCTCTGGAGTCCTGTAATTTTCTGTCGCAGGGTATGGCAGCATCCTTCATCTGCCGTTTAAATCTGACCCAAGTGCTTCCTGTTGCTGACTCCAGAGCACACCTGCTGCAGTGGAAAATGCTGAGAGAGAGTGCCGAGGTCAGCCAATTCCCTCCCCAGAGGTATTCCAGGATGTTGCCCTGTTGCGGGGGACTTGCCGATCCACTGAAACAAACACGTGCACAAAATAAATAACCACATAAAAAGTCTGTTTGCGTCAGCCTTGGGAAAATGTGTGTACATCCGGGGAGAGTTTACAAGATTTGTTTAACCCAGAGGTAGCCCTGAGGCTCGCTTTGAAGGCTTGCCAGTGTCTCCAGGGGGAGCAGGTAAGGCTCCTCAGGAAGGCAGCTTCATGCTTCCTGACTTCACAAGATGCGTCCTTTCAATCTGTGTCAAAACAAGTGATTATTCCTCCAGCAAATTTCCAGTCCTTCTAAGGCAGATGTGTATGTGCAGCGCAGGACCCGTTCTTTACTCGTCTGGGTCAGTGGTCCAAAGCAGACTTCCCCTGGCCTGGTGCCCCCAGGTGTAGTAGACCCCTGGCTGGAGGGGATGGAGGTTGCTCTCACAAAGCCAGAGGGTTTGCTGCAGTGGCCCTGCTCACAAGCTGTTGCGTAGAAAGAGCCAGATGGCTGTCTATCTTGCACAGTGTTTCCCACGCTGAAGCCCTGGCAGAGCCCCAACCCAGAGGCTGGAGAGGTTGCAGCTTGACCTGGAGACCCTTTGCCACCGCTTTAGTGACACTCATCCCCTGCTGAAGTTAGAAGGGGCACCCGCGAATGCCCTATATGCCCGGATGTGAGCACCTGGTGGCCTTCCCAGCATCCCTCACCAGGGCTCAGGGGAGATACTGATTGATTGATTGATTTTCTATACTGTCCTCTTACCAAGAGTCTCAGGATGGTGCAGAAAAGATACAGCCCAACAACACCAGAACGGACAAAGCTGCTCAAACCAGCTGCCTTGAGCTTTGCGGAAGAAAGGACAGAGTCTTGGACTGGAGACCTGGGAGATCCAGCTTCTAGTCCCCACTCAGCCATGGCGCTCCCAGGGAGGCTCTGGGCCACTCACTACTCACTCTCAGCCTAATCCACCTCATTGGGTTATTGCACTCAGGACAGGATGGAACTCTGCAAGCTGTCTTGGGTTCCTCACAAAAGGGACAAAGGCAGGATATAAGTGCCTTATAATAGATAATGTAAATGTAAAAACTAAGTTTGAGGCCTCTCTGCCTGAGGCATGCAACCTAGAGCTTTCCCAAGTCGTCGTCTTCCATTTTCTTTGTGGGAGAATATACTGTCTTTCATCTGGGTGTTTTGTTTTGTTTTTTTCTGGAGTTTTCCCCTCTGCCTTTCTGTATGTACCTTGTACGTTCCACTATTCGATACAAGGTGGTGCTGTGGCACAGAGTGGAAAAGAACTTCATAAAAGCTCCCCCCACCCCACCCCCCAAAAAAGTCTGTGCATTTATGCCTCATGTAGAGAAGTGTTAGGTAGCATTTTCTTGTACTGGATGCAATTCTGTGAGCACACTTTATCTAGGGTTGCCATCTTTTTAAAGTCCGCCTGGGAGTTTCACATCTAAGAGCTTCTCTGTGTGAAAAGCTTTGGGATACTTTACACAACATGGGTGTCCTCCCAGAGCCCCTCCAGCCATTTGAGAGCTTTCCTACACGAGACATTCGCTGTGCTGCTCTGATTCCTCGCTCACAGTAGGGTGAGGGCCGTTTACACAACAATCTAACCATCCCGGGGCCTTCCCTGTGTTTTCTGAGCATTTCTGCGCTGTTGGTTAGAATGTGGCTCTTCAGGGGAGAGAACACTATAACATGCCACAGAATGGTGGTGTATTTTTGTGCACATCGCCACCCTGTGGCTGCTTCGGGTAATGCAGAGAAAGGCAGAGAAAGAAAAGCCCTGGAGGAAAAATGTTTGAAGGAGCGGATCTTAATCTTGTAAAGAATGTGGGAGCAGGAGCCTCATGGAGATGTCATCCTTGATTGTTTTTTTTAGAGTAAGGATAATGCAGTTTATTCCTGGAAGATGCCAATATTACCTACAAAAGGCTTGTGTAAATTCTAAACCTCGCTCTATACCACTGTGCCACCTTGGGCTGCGTAAAGGAATATAGACAATGTTTAGAAAGACAGAGAGAAAAATTGGGCAATTTTGAAAAAGCCTTCCTTGAGTACCTTTTGCTGCACAGCTCATCATTTCTGCCCACTCTAAGCACATTCCAACCATCAAAATCATACAAATCATTTTTGTAATCCTAATCCTTACCTGGTGCACATCCCTAACCCTAATATAGGGCTAAAATTCCATTAATAATAGGGCAATTTTGAAAAAACCTTCCTTGAGTACCTTATTCTGCACAGCTCATCAAAATGAAGCTGTTGCACTACAAATAAATCTGTGTTTGAAACCTTGGTGAGCATTTTATATTACATCTCACTGTACGTTTTCTTTAATATCTGTATGTCATTTAATGTTTCTCCCACTTTAAACATTTTGTTGTAAACGAAGCTTGTGTGCTTGTTTTAAAAAGAGAAAAACCTCCATGTGTTCATGACAAGGACTTTAGCATATTATCAGCTACAGCTGATTGTTATTTAAAATACATTTTGTTGCTTAAGGCAAAAGCCAATGCATAGAAGCTACCAGGCGTGTTTCAACATTGCCAGTGGGTTAGAAGCCTTCACTGCCTGAGGCAGCCTGTAAATGTAAGGCTCCCAGGACAGGTGTGTGGCGTGCCAGGACAGCACCACTCGCCTGGACTGATCACCTCACTCCATCTAATAGCACGCTGACCCCTAAGATCCGTCTTTGCAGCTACCTGCACATCAGTCTTCTAGAAAAGACACAGCAGCTCTGGATTTTGTAAAAGCGAAGTTGACAGCCCCACCAAGTGCCCCAAATTTCTTGGAGGATGACTTATTTGAAAAAGTCTTACATGTCATGGGAAGTGGTCGAAGAAGCCCACAGATCAGTCCCGACTTTCTTCTGATTCTTCTGGAGCCAATATCATCCACAAGAGGGCATTCTGGTTTTCTAGAAAAAAAGATGTCTCTGTGAAGAGCTGTCCAGATATGCCTGGTAGCATAAAGATTTTACATCAGATCAGATCAGATCAGAGTGCTAGTTTCCCTTCTAGCAATATTCCATGCTATGGAAAGATGATTATTTACACATTATTTTTCATTCTAAACCTGCCAGTTAAAATTGTAACCCTCTGCCCCCACACCACTGCCTGCTTTTGGGCCAGGTTGGCTAATTCACAAGTTTTCATTTCAAAAATAAAACTTTCATTTTCTTTCTTTTTAAAAAAAATATTTTTATTAATTTCCAAAACCATTCATTTTTCTTAAAACGTATCTTTTCTTTCTTGTTACCGAGTTTCTCAAGCCACACTAGTGAGAAGGGAAGGCATTTCCTACATATGGTCCTTCAATTAGTGTGTATGTGGCTGAACATACGAGTGTGATAATTTTGAACATAGTAAATTTTATTCTGAGTTGGAAGATTGGTCTAGTACTGGTCCAGTAATGGGGTGCACAACCTTTTTTCTGTTGGGGTCCAGGGGTGTTGGGCAAAGTATTAGAAATATTCCCCTCCCCACCACCAAAAAAAAAAAAAAAAAGTATTAGTAAAAGAGCTCTTTCAGATGGTGTTTCCAACTTGGGCATCAAGTCTGTATTCCCAGGATAGCAGGACAGGTGATGCAGTAAACCTCTGCAGAAGCCCCTTGCATCTCTAAAGCAGCAAAAAGCTGGATTGATGTTCCCAAAAGCCAGTGTCGATGAAGAGAGTTCAGGCAAGCAAGAACATGGTACACCTGGTTGAATGTTGAAGGAGCGAGTCACTGAATCCAGGAGGGATTGCACTTCCCAGAAATGGCAATCAAGCTGGAACCCTGGACAGTGGCACATGGTCATTGCATCACCAGGTGCAGGCTTGCTTTTCAATGCGTGGTGTTGCTATGCAGCACAGGAAGCTGCCTTATCACAGGGCTGGCTGCTCTTCTGTCTACCCTGGCATTGACTCACCTGACTGGCACTGACTCGGCCATGTTCCAGAAGAAGCCAGGGTTCTGACAGCACATGAACCTACATTCAAGAGTTGAGTGTAGGCTGGTGTTGAACAGTAGGTAATCAGTGAAATGTGGGTTATTGTGTTGTCTGAGCCCAGATAAGTGGTTTGTTAAGCCACGCACAACCCACAGTTCACAACCCAACAACAAACCATGGACTCTCTTCATGAGCTGATTGTGGTTACCAAAATATAGGCTGTTAGCATGGCTGGTCCAGATACCATGATAACCCACCGCTCAGCAACAATCCATGATTCATTGACAACCACACCCCACACGCAACCCTCACTCATTCTTTGAATGTGGGTCATTGTGTTGCTTGACCCTAGTCAGAGAGAGGTCCTCTTCTCTATCACCTGTTTCCTGGACCCCTTAAAGTACCATTCACTGTATGTTTAGATAGAAGAAAGGCCTACAATTCTCAGTATGCTGGAAATTTGCAGCCTTTCTTTCTGTCTGAGTATGTACAGAATTGGCCTTTTAATTGATGCTATCAACTGGACCTGGGACTTTTTTCATGCTAAATCTGTGCTTTTCTAATGACACTGAACTATGGTCCCTCTGGAATAGTCCAAGATACTTGTGAGAGAAAAGCACAACAGGATGTTAGTCCTCGTGGTTGTGACAACTGCCCAGTAATACATAAACAGGGAGCTCCAGTCCTCACGAAGGTGCTCAAATATCCCAGCACTGAAGAATAAGTTTCAAGAAGAGCCCTGAGAAAATCTGACTCCAATGATTCATCTCTCCCTTAGGCCATTTGTGTGAAAGGGTTTAAAGAATTAAGGAGCAGGTTGACCTCACAGCCCCTCCCTAATACCTCACTGTCTTCCTCTTTAAAGAAGTCTTCTCTGTGAGTTACAGGTTCCAATCCTAGCAACGCAGCATTGGGAAGGGACCCCAAAGGTCATCTGAACTGGCCCAGGAAATCAGCACCACAGAGGAGACAGGATCTGTTTTTCTAGCATGGGGTTCAAGTGTCAAGAAATCTTCCCTGGCTTAAACCACGCTGTGGTTCAAAGCACAGCTTCATAAAACCCAGCTTTATCCCTATCCCTGTCACTCTGGCTTTCCACTCCCTGGAACTGCAGCTATCTTTCCATGGTCCGGAAGGAAAAAAGCAACAGTAAGAAATCAGATCCAAGCTTGAGAGCAGGCACCTATTTCTTTTCCATTGTGGGTCTGGAGCTAATTTTAGCCGTACTTGGAGCAGAGCCATTGAACTCAATGGTCTTTCAATGATTCCTGATTAACTTAATTCTAGATCTGATGCACCATATTTGCCATGCTGTGAGCCACGCAGAGCCCAGATATGGGCTATTGTAGCGGCATATAAATTCATTAAACAAGCAAGCAAAAGTTTGGTTACAGAATCTGGAACTAGTGGGTGGGTTGCATGGAATTCAAACCACAGCTGTGAAATAAACCTTGTGCATATACCTCTGTGCCAGCTGTCCCAGAGATGGTGCCCACTAGATGTATTGGGTGACCAGTCCCATCATCTCTGGGATGATGGGAGTTGCAGTCAAACATATTGGACTCTGGAGGACACCATGGTGGGGAAGACTGTAAAAAGCCTCACCTGGACTTTTGGGGAACAAAGTGCTAGCAAAGGTATGTACCCTCTCAAGCAAGGCAGGCAGGCAGGCAGGAGCTGCAGTCCCTGACTCAGCAGGAAGATTGCTGAGTGTTAGAAGAGGTGCCCAGTCCACATTTGGTTTGAAGTCAAAGAGAGCAGGTAGTGACCTGGATGTTTGCCTATCTTCTGCACGATGCTGTGGTATCGCACGTCTCCATTCAGATTCTAGGTATCATTTCTCAATATGCGCCCATGCAGGTACATTTGCATAGAGAAACGCTAGGTGCATTGGAGCCCTTTTCCCCCTCATCTCTGGCCACATGTAAGTGTCTGCCCTAGATTCCTTGCCTCTGGGCAAGGGGAGGTGGGAAAAAGAGGACTGGGGCCAGATGGGTGTGCTGGCTCCCATCCAGCTGTGAGCATTTGAAAAAGGAAGTTTGTCTTCGTGACTCGTGAGGGCCCTTTTCCCAAGCTGGTCCTGCATCCTCCTTTGCATATGACATTCACTCTTTGAAGGGCAATTAGCAAAAAGACACCTAAACAGCAGGCTGAAGAGGCAAGGGCACTCCTCATGGGTCACACAGCTGTCTACACCCTGGTAAGTGTATCTCTGTTTTAATAATAATACTAATGATATCTTCAGAATGTGCATCCATCTATCCAAATTGGCCTATGCAAATTCTGTGCAATTGTCTAGCATCTTGTGCCCTCTTCTGGGGTGATGCATTTCCTCATTTTCAGTGATTCATAATTAGACTCCTGACTCTCCTTGAATGCTTGTGACATCTCTAGCACAAAGCAAATGGTTAATTATGCAGTGGCAATATAATCCCAATGGAACCAGGAAATATCTGTCCACAGAAGACTTTACTTCAATGCCTGGGCAGGGAATCAGGTGCAAGAAGAGTTATGAGCTTAAGAGAAGCTCAAGAGGTTTTGGACCCCTGCCAATTTGGACCTCCGCCTTGGTTAAGCACCCACAGCTGTCCTGGGCATCCAGAGCTCCAAAAAGGCAGGGATTGCAGGCACGGGGCTGCCCAAGTCTCTATGCCATCTGAAGAAGCAGGAAAGTCAGCCTCCCATGACCTCATGGATTGGATCCAAGAAGACTGCCTGGCCCAACCCTGGAGCTGACGAGGTTTGACAGGCAGGGCTGTGAATCAGGAAAACCTTCTTCCCAGATAACAAAAGAAACGGCTGAGTCAGCAATAATTCTTACCCTTTCGAATCATAGCGGCTTAAACTGTTTGTTTGCTTGAAAAATATGCCATTGACTGGGAAACCTTTGTTGCAGTCAAGTGCTCAGTGTCTAAGACAAGCTTAGCTTTCTCCAACCTTCTGCCCTTCAGATGCATTGAATTCCTATCCCTACCAGGCAGCATGGCCCGTGATGGGAACTGCAGATAGACACATCCAGAAGACATGAGGTCTGGGAAACCTGAGATAATTCAATGGGGAAAAACCTGTTTTATCTTGTGAATCACCGGTGGAGAGACGCCAAAAGGCAGCCTCACTCTTAGAGGGCTGTGTGTGGTGGGATGCATGTTTTAGAGGATCTGAGCAGGATTTACAGAATTACCCCTTGCCGTATGCTTTGCCTTATTGGGGCAGTGTGCTGAGCTTATGCTGGGTTATGTTTAAAAATACTGTTCTTACAAGCAGCAAAAGCATTCAGTTTGTATACAGTCCGTGTTTAGAAGGGCAAATCATGGTAAGTGCTTAAATTTCTCACCCATGGGCTTCTGAAACAAAGTCAGGGTGTCCTCTTTTTAAAGGGATGCCAGGTAACCATCCTCTGCTGAAGACCTCTGTTATTTGAAAGGCTGGTCAGTCCAAGTCCAGTCTGACTTCATAAGTATCATAAGAAGAGAGGGCAGCAGGCATATGAAGCTGCCCGCCAACCCTGCGCACCTGGATGGCACCCAGAGCAGGTACACAGGATGTCTGATCTGAGAGCCCGTGTGGCGTAGCAGTTAAGAGTGCAGGGCCTGGACTCTGGACAACCTGGATTCTAGTCCCTGCTTGGCCATGGAACCTACTGGGTGACTTTGGGCCAGTCACAGACTCTCAGCTCAACCTACCTCACAGGGCTGTTGTGGGGATAAGATTGAGAGCAAAGGAAGCGAATGATGTGAGCCACTTTGAGTTTGTAAGAAAAAAAGCAGGATATAAATCCAATAAATAAATAATCACAGTGTTCTGCCCTGTGGTGAGAGGGACTTGCCTGCCTGCCCCTTAAGATCTGAGGCAGAGGCCCTTCTCCGGGAGCCCTCCTTGAAGGAGATTAGGAGGGTGACTACCCGGAGAAGGGCCTTCTCTATGGTGGCACCCCGATTGTGGAATTCGCTCCCCAGAGAGTTTCGCCTGGTGCTGTCACTTTATTCTTTTCAGCACCAGGCTAAAACCTTTTTATTTTCCCAATATTTTAAGGTTCGATTGTCATTTTAATATGGGTTTTATTTTTCACTGGTTAAGAATTTGATTGGGATGCTGTGTTTTGCTTCGTTTTGCTTTATTTTATTTTTATCTTTGTCTTGCTGTTAAACTGTCCTGGGACTAGGTAAGGGTCAGTCTGAAAACGTTTTAAACAAACAAACTTGAATTATGCAAATTATTCCAAATTTGCATCTATCTATATAAATTAGCACGTGCAAATGTTATGCAAGTTTGTGTCCTCTTTTGTGGCGATGCATGATTATCTTATCAGTTCATAAGTGGTTCCATGCTAAGCTGAGCACTCCCAGGGTTGCTTGCTCTCTTTTGATGCAGAAGGGCAGTGAAGGCTGGGGCAGAGAAACAAACTGATACCACCCCCATTTGCAGAACGGCACATGCTCAGCCACAGGATCATGATGACCACAGAAATAGCATGGTGCCAAAGCCATTTACCTGGGAATAAGCACTACTTGTTTATTTTTGAAAAGGATAATATTTTTTCAAAGTAAAATAATAAAATGAGCATTTGTACCAGTGCACACGGCTGTCAGCTGCCCCTGACTGCAAAATATTTTTGTGCAAGAAGAAAGGCTGCTGAAACAAGCAGTCAGCTCTCTCCGGAGGGTGCGGGGGGTGGGGGCAGAGTTTCTATGGTGGCCCAAGTTCTGGTACCAGCCCAGCTCCCTGTTCTCTCCATCGCCTCTTTGGGTGGTCATCTGGGTTCCACCCACCCTGAGCTGCAGAGCCCTGGGTTTTGCCCTCAAGCGCCAACCTAGGCAATCCTCACCAACAAAATGAACTCCGAAGAATTGGGACACAGTGCCTTGTTTCTTGGAGCCGGGGGTCAGACTAGATGGCCCAGGAGACCCCTTCTGGCTCGCTCTGTTTCTATGTTTCAGTATTTGCCTTCTGAGCAGGCCTCTATGTGAGGGGAGACATGCACCCTCCTTCTCTAAAGGTAGTCCTTTCCTTGAAAGATGCTTCCTTGTAAGGGTTAAAGACCCATAAAAGTTGTTGCTCACCCTTACTTAGCACCTGGACGGCAAACAGAGCAGCGATATGGGACACCAGGCCACAGTCTCCCACAGTATAGTGGATTGGCCTGCACTTCTAATTAAACTCTAAAAATAATACATCAATTTGTAAATTCTTCACATAAGTTAGCAAATACACACTGTATGCAAATTGCAGTCCTTTCTTTACCTCTCTTTTGGTGATGCATTTCCTATTTTTTGGCAATTCTCTAGCGACTGCTCTATGCTGAGCTCATTTTGTGCTGATTTCTTATTCCTCATTAAGCTGCTTAAATCAGTGATCCAGTTAAACCTCAGAAAACCACTTTGTTTTACCCTTTAGGTATGAAGAGCACTGATTGTCCCTGATCTTTCCAGCATTATCCGCTTCATTGCTTAACAGCTGCGCCCAACCAGTACCGCCTCTCGGTGGGTCTGCTCCCGCACTCTTGGCCAGGTGCAGATTCTCCATTGAGGACAGAATCCCATGCAAGTTTAAGGGAAAGACATCCTTTTTCCTGGGAGCTGTAGGCCATTTAGTTGCCTGAACTTTCATGGGACTGTGCCTGAAGGAAGCACATGCTGATAGTATAGTAGTGGAAAAGGCTGTCTCAGCAGATGATGATGATGGTGGTGATGATGATGATGATGATGATTGGATGGAGGTTGGATGGCCACTCATCAGGGACGAGGTTTCAATACAGATTTCCTGTATTGTTGGGGGTTTGACTAGATGACCTCTGGGGATCCTTCCACTTCTTTGATTCTCTCATACAGTCTCAGGGGCCAGCTATACTGAAGATTCTGCGGTTGTATAAGTATGTGGGAGAGTTTCCCACATTTCAATTTATTTTAGTCATTTTAGCCAGAGGCCATAACAAACAACTAAAAATTGAAAACAGAGTATGTAAACCTTCAAACAATAAACAAATAGAATCTTTCCAATCAAGAAAATCCTATATCCTTTGTGTTGATCCAAATGAAAAACAAGGATGTGGACTTCATTAAATTTCTGCTGTGTTCTGGCCACAAGGAAAGTCAAGGAAAGCTATGGCTTGTGTAATCTATTTGCTATAATTAGTGGGCAAGGCAGTGAGATCCACAACAAAATGTTGCAGCATGGAGTGCAGCTGTCCAGGGCTCAAGACAGCTGGTGACACATAGCCAGTCATTTTATTTTCCAGTATACTCCATTTCATTCCTTGTCTCCAGTTTTCTATATTTTTTTCTTCCAGCAGGCACTCTGCATTCTACCATCTCTTGCTGGGATACATTGATTCCAAGGCTCATTTCTAGCCACAGCCATGGAGTCAGCTTAATGTGGAGTCAAGTTACATATACACAATCTAGACTACAATAGACTGTAAAGAACATTAAAAACATAACTGATGTCCAGTTTGCACAGGAGATCTCCGACCAACAGCTGAGTACTTTGACTCAGTTTGCTTGACTCTCAGAGGCTGAAGGCCATTGGAGGAAGATTTAGCGCTCTATCAGATTTTCTGAAATTCTAACAATGGTAAAGGCAATACCAAATAGTGGGAGAAATACCAAAAGATAATTGAGAATACACACAATAGGCTACACAGGAGAAATATGGAGGAATGATAGTGGTAGTAAGGAAAGAAGAGACTGCTGGGCATGTTGAAGGCAGATTATTTTTCCAGAGTTGTGGCATTCATTCTTGAGTTTGTGGAATAGTGGCACACCTGAGGTTTTTGCACGCACTTCTTCCTCTGTTCCAGGCCTATTTGAGGCCCTGTTCCAAGGGGAAGCTGGGGCAAGATGCCTGAAGGCTCCAGGTGAACATGCTTGTTTGGTGTATCATGAGTTTATCACAAGAGGAAAAGCAAATATAAACACAGATATATAGTAAGCTTCTGCAGGGGCATAGTAGTAGCTTCATAACTGGGTATCTAGTTCTGCTAATCATGTGATCGCTTTTGGTGTCGCTTCATACAGATCTTATAAGGAGCCAGGAAATGCATGTCTTCGGCATTCTTTCACAATATGTTTGATAGTTTGCACATCGGCGCCAACAAGGAGAATCTTTCCCTCCCTGTTGATACAGAGCAGAGGCGCTCCTTCCAGTATCACATCTATTTCTACTCAAGTTCATCCAGACAGAGTGAGGCAGGTGATAGCCAGGGAGTTTGGGTTCACTAATATCCAAGCTGCAATAAGGCAACTTGGACCATTCCTCTCTCCAGGCATCCTTAAGATTGAATTGGACAGATGTAAGATAAACGGCTGTTTCCCAAGCTCTCCTCTGAGATTTCAGCCTTGTGATGGGCTGTGTAATATCCTGATGAATAGGGAGGTCCTTGCTTTTCAGCATCCTTGACCATAACTGAGCGAAAGCAAGTTGTCTTCTAATGTGGGGTGGCGTAATGTTGCCGAGTACTGGTAACCAGTGCTTGCTGGCTGAGCAAGCTGATCCATTTCTATTATTTTGCTTCCTTTTTCTTCTCTCTCCCCTCCACCCCCAGAATCATCCCTAAACTAGATCAAAGTGAGTCTGATCCCACATTTTCTAACTTGGAACTGGAGGGAAGGCAAAAGTCCCCCTTCAAATTAGGGATTCGGAGAGCTTTGCTTAGCTTCAGAATTCATGCTTGGTATTCTGAGAGAAAGCATCCAGAAGCTCACCGACTTTATAGGTGTAGCTTTGTAATTTTTGGTTTTGGGCGCAAAAGTTCTTCAGTTGGCTTTCTCTTACAAAGGAAAATAGGCAGTTGTTCGCTTTTTTTTCCCTATGAGGCACCTTCATGGACTAATGAACCAGAGAGACACATTCTTGCCAGTTGTTTCAGCTGGACATGAAGCAAGACAAAGTAGTTTCTCTTGCCTGTTAATCTTTCCCAGTCATCTTCCCACCCAGCGCAGCTTTGCTTTTTGGGTTAGTGAAAGGGTTTAGAGAGGGATTGAGGACAGAGTGGTCTCCAGTGGTGCGATCAGGAAAATGAAAGAATCACATGGTGGAGAGAAGGACCATGGGGCAAGAGAAGTGGAATGTCTTTCAGCGTTGCCATTTGTCCTTTTATCCCCCCTGAAATGCTCCGTTTTTTCTCAACCATTTACTACTCTCAATGGACTTTTGAGAACTGGACTGAATCCCCAAAAGGCCAGTAGAAAAGCCCTTTCAAGGAGCCTGATTTTGTCCCAATCATAAACTCTCAGACCTTGGGCCACTGACCGTCTGCCTCCTTTTGTGGCTTAGAAACAGTGCTTCTTAAAGACACAGAGGGCAGCATCCTAGCTCCCAGACTTCCTGATCACACCCCTCATTTTTATTTTTATTTTTAAAAAGATGGGAGTCCACCAGAAGACCCTCCAAATGATACCCACAGCTGTCTTGTTATTCTCCGAACCCATTCTTGTTAAGCATGGCCGGCCCTGCTCTCTATTGGTTTCCTTGGAATGTATCGCCCTGACATTAAATCAATGAAATTTTCTAGAGAGAATTTTTATCAAGAGAAAGGTCTCTCTCTTACCTTTTTTAAATGCCAGCAGGAATGCAGCAATGATTCAGTGAAGTCAAGCAGCACCAGGATCCCATCCTTGTTGCCAAATGTTAGATCTTGCATGTAACAGGCCAAAATAGACTGAAGAAAAACAAACCGGGAATACTTATTAAAAATACGGCATGCAAGGCTGTTGACATATTTTTACACGTTTAAGGCAGAATGCCTTGGAACTGCACAGCACAGACTTAGACCAAGCCTTTATGGTTAGTTTATCTCATCCTCTGACAACTTTCTCATAGGCTCCCTCCCTTCTTGAGGCTGGGAATCACCCTCTCTCCATTCATCCCTTATCTAAGACCAACCCTTCTCAGATGTGACTCAGGTGCTCATCCTTAGCCTGGTTCCTTCTTGTTCTCTAGGAGCAGTTCTCCTAGAACTACATATACACAAGTTTCCTTTGTAACCTGTATTTGTAAGAGCAAAGGAGGCACCGTCTTCTCCAACACGGGATTACTGAGACGGCTATGCCTCCTCTCTTCCTGTCTGCTTCCCCTTTCCACTCCCTCAGCTTTGTGCATTTTAGAAGACCAAAGTGCCTCCCCTGGGGCTCGTCACTGGCAGTAACAGCTCTAAGCTAAGACAGGTATTTTTGGGCCCTCTGGGCCCTGACTTTTTGATTTTGGCCCTGCTTCTTCTTCCTTGACCCTTCTGGGCTCTGAAATGCAGCTACTGAGGCCTTTTCCGAAATGAAATTCAGCCTTCAGACTAGAAGAGCTTGAGCACTTTTGAAGCAGAATATAGAAATGATTCTGGAAAAACTCATGAACTAAATCCCCACAATCCTCAGTCTGGCATGATTGCAAGTCATGCTTTTTTCTCTGACTTGTGTTTCTTTTCCTTTTTTCAGGGGCTTGGGGATTGCTGATGTCTTTGACTGCAATTATTATTTTGGTTCTAGTATTTTTTTGGCAGGTGGGATGTCCTGATTATTAATTTTGATTCTTGTTGTGTTGTATTTATTATTGTATCTTGTGAGCTACCTTGAGAAGGGTACCTTTGTACCCTAGAAAAGCGGCCTAAAATAATAAAAACACATCTGTGAAATGCCAGAGGGCATCCATGAGTTGTGCAGGATTCATCTGCTGCTGAGCAAAGTCAGCTTGCCAAAGTATCCAAGCCCTGGGCTCTTCCTTGAGATCGACAATCTGTGATTTCCAAAAGGTTAAAAATAGGCTCGGTTTCAGCCCCTGTCTCTTTAACACCCTTGACAAGATTCCTTATTAATAGCCTTATTATGTCACAATGCACCCAAAAGACGCTGCGTGCCTATTTTTGCCCACTTCTCTAATCCATCAGTTGTGCTGTGCTGTCCTCTGCCAGCTGTTGGGCAGTGATGCCACTTGGCAAGACACGTTTAGAGAAAGTGGTGGAGCCAAGAGACCTTAATAGTAATAGAGAAGGTCCATAGATAGAGCACTGAGTAAAGTTGCCCCTTCACCTTTAAGTCCCGTACAACTCATGGCCTACTTGTGAGTGCAGGCACATTTATTTCTGAACCCCGCCAGGGTCCTGGTGAAAGGCGAAGGTCAGTGCAAATATTCCCACTGATCCCCTGGTAGCCATTGCAATATTAGAGGCATCTGAGCCGGCCTCACATGCCTGAAGGGCTGTCAGGCAAAGGTTCTGTTGCTCCGGCATAGTGGTAGATGAAGCCGTCAGTTTTGCTTTCTCCTGCAGTCAAGTACTTTAACTCTCACGCTCTTTTCATCCCAAAGATGGAGAAATTTACAGACCGAAAATGAACTGAAGCAAAACAGTTGCCCATTTCACTGGCTAGTTTCAGCAGAGACACCTATTCCCAGCTGATGGGCTGACCATCTTGTGCCCACCTACCATGTCACTATTAAAGATGGGAGCTGGTCAGAAAACAAGTGACAACCCTGAACAAACACTGACTATGTAAGGAGTCAAACTCAATTTTTAAAGAGCTAAGCAGCTGAATTTCTACAACTGGACAGGTATGGCTTCTTTCCTGTTTGAATATTTTGAATCAAGTTTGTTCTTTCCCATTTATGGTGGAAAATTAGAATTTAAATTCTTATGCAAAAAGAATTGAACTGAAATTCTCACCCATTCACAAATTCTCTCCTGTGTCAGTGCTAGCTGGGAAGAATAAGAGCTGTAGCCCAACATGTCTGCAGGGCACTGAGTTTCAGAAGGCCACTATTAAAGGGCCAGTCCCACTGCTCTCTTCCCTGCTTTTTTCCTTGCAGTATTACCACCAGGCCTGTCCATGTGGGATTCATTACCCCGTCAAAATCCTATCTGAATAGGTTTCTCCTTCTAGCAACCTACTTTTCAGAAAAATTTCAGCAAAGGCCAAAATTAGTTCCACATACATACCCTAAAGAGAACATTTTTATTCCAATGAACCCTTAAATCCATCTTCTTCAGCCTGGGCTCCTGAGAAGTCATTAGGCAATCATTTTTTCACTTCCCAGGAAGCAAGTCATGGTCAAGAATGATAGAACAACAGTCCAGCAACATTTGGGGGTTTGAAGTTGGTAAAGCCTGCTTTTAAACTAACATGCCAAGTCATCTTGGTACTATGCTCTAACCACTACACCACACTGACTCTGATTCTCTCTCTTCTGTACTTCAGAAACAAGTCACTTAACAACCACTTCACAGGACCTGCACAGGAACAAAACAAAGCCTCAGGCCAGCAGAGTCCATGAAAAGTCCAGAACCACAAGAGCCTCATAGGGGATGGTTCTCCACGCTCCAAAATAAGTAAAGACAACATGTACAGGGAAATAAGTATCTCCTCACAAGGAAGCTGAGTGCAGAGGGTCAGATCTTGAGATCAGATCCTCTGTGAAGGCTGCTGCAAAGTACAAGTTTGTTCCAGGGTTTACCCAGGTTATTTCAGTGCAGCAAGTCCCATCATCCCCTGTAGGGCTGGTTCCAGGTTTGTGTGGCATCCTGGGCAAGACACAAGCCTGGAGCCAGCCTAAGAGTACAAGAGCAGATTTTCAGCGTGTTAAAGGCAAATTCGCAAGCTGTGTTTCATTGTAAGCTGTGCTGTTTAAAAGGGGGGCAAGGGATATTTAAGGGGGGCAGAGTCCCCCAGCCCACTCCTGGCTATGAGCCCAGCAAGAGGCCCTCCACGAGCCGCCTCCTGCCAGGAGCCTCCTTCTCACCACCATTTTGCCGGCTGCTCTGGTGCCTCGCTCTCTTCCTCGCCAGGGCTTCCGCTCGCCTGCTTGGCGGGCACAGAGCCAGAGCCTGAGGGTCAGCCATACACTGCTCCTCCTCCTCCTCACCTTTCCAGTTGCCCCGGCCAGAGCAAGAGGCAGGTGAGCAAGTGGGTTGCCATGGCGACAAGGAAGGTGCTCATTAGCAGGCCTCTGCCAGGTCGCAGGCCCTCTGTGGATGCCTGGCCAAGCTTGCCCTTGACAGGAGCAGCTGTCCCAGGCTGGAAATAGCTTGTTAGCAGGAAGAGCTGTCACAGCATCTTCCCAACTGCCCACACTATTGCGGGGTCTCCTGCATCCAAAACCACAGACACCTACCTGATGGAAAAGTGGCCGTTGCATCATTCAGAAGGGACACCTGAGCATCCCCACCTTTCTCCAGAAAGGTGCTTTGCACACGTACCAAATGCGCACAGCAAAGCTGTCTGCCGTGTTGCTGAAGCCCTGTTTCACTGTGGCTTTCCCTTCCCAGCACCTGAAGAACTTACCTTTGGGCAGAAACAGGGAAAGGCAGCGGATCAGGGTTGCCACAGCTGCCTCCACCTGAGCTCTTGCGCATATTCGCCCCTAGCCCAGAACCTGATCAGCGCCGCCAGTGATACCTTCCAAGCCTGCTCTTGCCAATGCGCAGCTTCCACAATGCCGATTCTGCAACTGTTATTTATTGTGTTTTAGCACGAGGTTTGCTTCAATTTTTGCTCTGGTTTCTCTTTAGATCCTATAAATATAACACAAATACACAGACACAGACATGCATATAAATATAGCGACCTGCAGACATAGGGCCTGTATTGTTACCAGTCCAAAAGTCCAGTGATTTTGCCTTTTCCTCCTTATTGGATTTTCTGTGGTAAGAAATAAACAGGGAAGCAGCTGCGGGAAAAGGAGTGAAAGATGTCACCTGTCATGTTGTGTGAAGGAGGCAGGAAACAGCCTGATAAAAGCCTCGCCTGAAAGCACTTGGAAACCAAATAGATACTCAGACTTTTTGCATGAGCTTGAGGGTGTGCGTGGGCACATGGCCAGCTTCAATGCTTGGCACGGTTGGGCCCCTGCTGAAGAGCACACCCCTGAAGGGGACCTGTGGCCAAGGCCCAGAGCGTCATTTCTTCCTCTGCCTCTGCCTATCCACCAGCTCATTCTTGGCATGGAAGCAGAAACTAAGAAAATGTGGATGAGTTAACACAAGGGAATTTGCTCCCCTGCCCCAACGCACAGCTCTTTGTGATCCAAGCAGCTCCCCTGCAGGACTGAGGGGCCTTGGGGTAAGGCGTGCTGGGAGGGAGGGGGAACTTCTCCAAGGTGGTCTCGGATCCTGGAGGGAGAAATCCAACAGCTCTTACATAGCTTCTGTTGGGTCACAGGATATTTGGGATTCCTAACCCTGACTCCCCCTCCTCCTCAGATCCTGTGCAGGAAGAACAGTGACAGCTGCTTCAACTAGGTTGGGTATGCGACCTCAGAGAACGGTGAAAAGGGACATTTTGGTGGGTGAGCAGGAGCGATGACCGGGGAAGCCAGGATTTTCATTCTCATGTGCCTGATTGCCATGGCTTAAAGGATGGGTTATTTGCGGATTATCTGAGAGTTGGTTCCCCCTCCAAGAAACCACGCCAGATGCCTTGACAAAACATGTCCAGATTGGCAATTAGGAAACTTGTCCCAGGCAAGCACTGCAGCTGAAACAAGCCTCCATGGCTTGTTTAAGCCAAGAGGATTGTGCAAACCAGGGCAGCCATTTTCCCTTTTCACCACCATTGTCACCAGCTGCTGTTGTGTTGCCTTCTGTGTCTTTCTAAGTGCTACTGCTTGCTTGCTTGCTTGACAAGCAGGGAGCCATGGGGCAAGTAGACAGCGGCACTGCCTTGCCTCCTCACCGCCACCCTCGTCTGGGCCAGAGCGGAGGGCAGATGAGCCAGCCGACTGCAGGGGTGAAGAGGAGGAGCAACCCCAGGATGCTCTTGTCAGTGGGCCCCCACTGGGATGTTGGCCCTTGGCAAGGAATCCACCAGGCCTACACTTGACCCCAGCCCTGTGCATTTAAATTATAATATTGCATTCTAAATGTGCATCTGCATGTATAATGCAATGCAAACTGTATGGAGTTCATGGTACTATTTTCTCCTTTTTATCTTCTTTTTCCAGCAGTTCATAGGCAGCCACTGCCAGGGCGTGAATTACAGTCAAATGCATTTCAGTCACTTCTGTCTTCTGCAGTTAATTCTAGGTCTAAATAGTTTAAGCAGAAATTCAATGCCTCTCATCATAGCATGAAGGCCAGAACCAGGTGAGCTACGGGCTTACCCCTTCAGTCTGCTATCCAGGTGCTTCTGTGGCTGAGCAAACATGCTGATGCTCCTTTATGTTTAAACAGGAATTGGACAGGACAGCCCTTCAGAGTACTGACCCCTGCAAATAAAGGACAAAAAGAAACCCTTGAATAGAACAGCACAGCAGTAGAGTTGGAGGCAGCTCGTAAGGCCAACGAGTCTGACCCACTGCTCTGCTTCCGGATGTGGTCACCCATCTGGCTGCAGGTCCGTGCCTTTCCAGCTTAGCAAAGGAGGCTTGGCATGCTAGTTCAACGTACAGCTATGCTGGACATAGCAATGGAGGGTAACTTACAAGAACAAGTGTGCGTTACATTTAGACAATGCCAGCAAGCTCGCTGGTGAAGCTAGCAGACCCAAGCCCTCGAACATGAGCCCCCGGCGCTGTTAGGTTCCTCCCAGAGGGCTGCTCCAGACGTCAGCCAAGAGTGAAGCCAGTGGCTATATCTGTCAGTGACAGGCCGGAATGGAATGTGGGCCAGGTTGCCAAGTGTGCGCGCAGGAGTTCTCTTTCTCCGGTCCACCTCTCCTCTTATGGAGAAGAGAACAAGGGAGGGCAGAGGGAAAGCCTGAGGTTTGCCTGAACAGCTCCTCTTATGGAGAAGCAGGGGAAACCCACGGTGTCAGCAGGGGCTCCCGAGAGGCTCTCCAGGCCTCCGCACAGCTCAATACCAGACGCGGTACTCGTAAAATGAATTATAATGCCTCTTCGTGGGTTTCTGCGGGTGGCCATCTCCCAGCCCAGCCTAGCAAATTTCCCAGGAAGCGGTGCTCCTGCTCTTTAAGGATATATAGGGAAGTAAAACAGACCCTTCGTCCTCTGAACAAAAGGGAACACAATGTGCCCCCACTTAGGAGTGGAAATTTAAGATCACTGAAAGTGGGTGGATCGACTACTCCCTAATTAACCCACTTTCTGTTGAGCATGCCATTAGAGTGTTTAAAGGAGTTATTATGTAACACCCTTTCAGTGCTTTCTTTCTTTGCTTTTTTCCCTTATATTTTTAATCCCACACTTTTTTACAATTTCTAAAATGGCAAGATGACGTACCCGTGGCTTCCCTTTGCCATTTCTGAAGCGAAGAAAGCCAGGCTAAGAGGGGTTGTGGTATTCACTGCCAAACGAGCTGTCCCTCAACCCTGAATGGGGTCTGTTCTTCACCTTGTAACATGCATCTGCCTTGGTATTTTAAAAATGCAAACCATTTGAGGTGGCTTGTCAGAAAGTGGCATATAGATGCAACCAACCGATCAAAAAATTTATTCAAGCAATGAGGCAGTGAGGTAGATTAGGCTGAGGGAGATGGCAACTGGTTGAAGAGCACAAAGTGAATTTCATGGTTAACTGAGGATTTGAAATCTTAGTCTGGTTCTGTGATATTCAAGCTGTGCTCCCCAGAACTCCAGGGCTCCATGAGAATCATCCAGGGATCCAACATGAGAGTTTACTCTTATGACGACAGTGAAATGGTAAGCTGTTCATGAGGCAAAAACCAAGCAAATCCAGGTCATTACAATGAAATGTAATTTTTCATTTTGTTTGTTAGCGATGCTGTACTAAAATTTAGTATGCATTCAATCACTTTTGTATTATTTAGTTACTAAGTGATAAATGAGTTCATTAACACATTTATAAACAGTTTCTGTTTACACTGTACAAAATGTATTATTGCAACATTCTCTGTAACATTTCGTTCAAGCAAAATGCATTGCATGAAAGGAATTTATTAAAGGGTTCTGTGCTGATTTGTCAAATGGGGAAGAGCTCTGCAGCTATCTTAAGCTCGAAGACCACTGCTTAGCTTCCACTACCTGTGGTGGCCTCCGGATCAATTGGCCTGCCACTCCTATCATTCCCAGCTAATTTGAAATGTTAACATGTAGTATGGTATCCAATCCAGATAATGTGAATGGTCACACGGGTGGGAAGTTCATCGCTCTATATTTTGTTTGCTTTTTAAAAAAGTACTTGATTGTAGTAGGGCATGTCTCTGTAACTTCTACAGCTACATGACAAAATGGATATTAAACAGGTAAAGACCTTCCCTCTATGGAGGTGCAGTAATGGTATAATATATATGCATGCACATGTAGATTTTATGCAAATTCCTCTCCTCTTTTGACCCTTTTTTGTGATTTTGTGATACTTTTCCTCTGTTTTGGTGAGTTACGAGTAGCTATCTTATTCGCTACTAAGCTGCCTTGGTCAGCTGAGAAGACACGCTGACTGGCGCCCCAGATGAGAACTTTATTATCTAATCTAAACCAAACCAAATGGACACACGAAGCCCCTGACTCCACCCAGGTGCATTTAAGTCTAGTGCCACCTACTGGTTCAGCTAATAATACCAATATTCAAACACACCCTTTATGATTAAGAATAATATGAGAAGCTTCTTTTCCATGGCTAATCATGGCAAAGCTGGGTCAGGATTAGTGCTCAGCATCTTTTAGGAGTGACCTTTGGGTGCTGCAGTTAATCTCTGCACCATTGTTCCTTACTACATATAGTAAGGTACAAGTTGTTGTTGTTATTTCAGCTTTCCGCCACATGATGCCCGCCAGAAGCTGTGGATTCCAACTTCCACCAGCCCTAGCCAGCAAGGCCAGTGGCCAGAGATGTTGGGAGCTGTGATCCAGAACATCTGGAGGGAGCTAGGCTGGGGAACGCTGAGTGTCCTCCATGCAGCCACGTGGCGCAGGGTGGCCCTCTGGGCCCTCATTTCCCATGACTGCTTTCTGCTGTATTCCTCCTCCTCTTCTCACCTTCCCTCTTCTTTGTTCTCCTCTTTCTCAGAGTTGCCAAACAACTTTCCTGAGAAGGAACAACTTTTGCCAGCTGGGTTTAGATTTCTGTCACCACAGCTTGAATGCGTACATCTACGAACAGTAGGCGCCTTGATTCATCACAGAAAAGATGAGCTGCTAGATGGAAAGGGGCTGGGTTAGGGAGCATGACTCAGGGCAGCCTGCATCATTCCCTCCCCACGTGCTCAGTGACCAAGAGGGAATGTTCCAGATCCCTCTTGCTTGCTCTCTTGCCCGGGGGCTCATACACAATGGCTGGTTTGGGGATGATATGGGATCTGCAGAGCATTAGGTGGCCTTCAGTTCAGGCTACTGAAGTTGCACTGAAATGGCATTTCTGCTTCAGTTACTTAAATCAAAGCATGCACATGCACACACACACTCAAGAATCTAGTCCTTATTGTTGAAAATCCACAGGCAGTGCCAGGTCCGACTCTCTGAGAGCCCTTGGGCAAGAAAGCAT